GGGGGGGGGGGGGAAAGGGGGGTCTGTCCTAGCATAGCTATAATAACAATACGACGAATATATTTTAGGGTTCAAGGTTCCGTGTTGAAAGAATTCGGGTTCAAGGCTTCCCGATCGGAATCCCGAAAGAATCCACACCTTCAAAAGCCCTAAACTTTAAACCCTAAACCCTAAACCTTAAACCCTAAACCCTAAACGCCCATAGCCTGAAACGGTTTAGGGTTTAGGGATATCATCTCCCCCCCAAGCCCGAAATCCTCAATCCCCCACCCTCAGCCCTGATTGACGAACAAAAGGCTGCCATAACGTGGCCTAATATAAGTAGAGTTTTGGGGTATATTATATATTGTACTATAACTATAATCGGGAGCCCCCAAAATAATAGAGGTAATTGTTTAGACCCCTTTATTATCAACCTGGGGGCGAAACTTCAGCAGAAGATCGGGATTCAGACTTCAAGCTGCGTCTATCGCGTTCCGCCGGATTCGCCCTCACTCGGACTTCTTTCAAAATGGAAACTCTCAAGGTTCCGTAGGGCTTGTTTAAGAATGAGATGGTGCTTGACGGCATATTCGGGTTGTAAGTGGCTTCAGTAGCTTGGTTTAATTGCGACAGCATGCAAGAAAACAGACGTTCTTGAAGAAGACCACTTCCAGCCCAAAGAACCCCCCCTACTTTCAAGAATCCTGCCACCAAGACCCCACCCCCACGACCTTTTCATGAAAGCCCAAGCCACGGTGTGGATGCAGGGGTCTCCGGCTGCTTTCGCGGCCCCCGGCCGCGTAGCTGTAGTTTTGGAGGGACAAGCCTTAAGCGCATCGTGAGGTTGTCGTTTTATCGTGAGGTTGTCTAAACCCAGAGTTTAGTGTTAGTGTTCAGGGGTTAAGGTTTCTGGTTTAGGGGAGCACGATCCTAAACATCGAAGCACGACGCATTTAACTAATCGTGGACCTTGGATTTTAGGGCGGTGGGAATGCAGGGGAAGACAGCAGGGCAGCAGGGTTAGCTACGGCTGAAGGAAAAAGTGAACAGAGAAGGAAAGGTCCGAGGACAATAGGAGTGACCCCTAGAAGGGTTTAGGGTTTAGGGTTTAGGGTTTAGGGTTTAGGGTTTAGGGTTTAGGGTTTAGGGTTTAGGGTTTAGGGTTTAGGGTTTAGGGTTCCCCTAATCCTTTAACCCCAAGCGTCCCTTTAAGGGTCCCTCCTTTAGTCCCGTGAGATGGAGGAAGTTTGGGCATGGGCTACGGCTTTTCGGCGTTTGGACTTGGGGTTTTCGCGGGGCTTCGGGTCTCAGGGAGTGGGAGTACTTCAACCTTCTGAAACCTCCGCCTTCGGCAGTCTGAAGCCATATTCCCAAGTTCGATGTTAAAGGGACCTGGTAGATTTAAGTTACTTTACAGGGCCAGTAAAAGGCTCAATAAGGTTTTGGGGTATATCATCCTAGAATTATATCAGGGGGTGCTAAGGAATACCTTTGCTAATTCATTGTGTTCACCTAGGAATACACTACTACTACTTACCAAAGCCCCTATAGACGGCTTTGGAGATCGTAGTCGGCTGTTTCGCACGGTTCTGCGTTCGATCAGGTCTGCTCTGATCCCATTGTGTCCTCGCCTTCGCACAACTTGAGAATTGCATGATCTTTCGAAACATCAGCACGCGACTACGAAGTAAGTGCTTGTCTGACAGACTACATTCATTTAGAGAAATATGGTCGCAAACAGAAGAGAGCACCGCTGAAAAACGTTCCAGGAGCACGGTGGGCACGCCGTGGTATGCCTGGCTTCGGATAGGCACACGAAGAACCCTTTCCCTCTACGCGAAAACATTACTCTCCAAAAATCTGCCCCTCCCTAAACCCTGCGCGAAACCCTGGCCCTATTCCCCCCAAAATGTAGGCTAAACCCTAAACCCTAAACCCTGAAGATGCGGGGTTTCTTGGCCAGGTTCCCCTGTTACCCCCAGTCGCCGCCTCAGATCTCGAAACTACCTGGACCCCAAAGAACCTACCTTTTTAGGGTTCCCTATTATGGTTTAGGGTTTAGGGTTTAGGGGGGCCGTAAACCCAAGACTCTAAACCATATCATCGCGAATACTATGCCCTCGTGTTTCTTTATATGAGTCCTTAAAAAGGTAGGTTATTTGGGGTTAAGGTAGATCCTGCACGCTCGGGCTGGTATGCGGGGCAGGGCAGGGCCTGGGAATCTCTTAGGATTTATTGGGGGTTGGGGCTTCTGGGGTTTAGGGTTTACTTTTTTTTTTTAGGATTTTATAGGGGTTTAGGGTTTGTAGGGTTGAAGGCTTACGGTTTTTAATGATGACCTTGGCATGCTTGAGGGTTTAGGGTTTGAGGCTTTGGGCTTGGAGGCTTCAGGGGGTTTAGGGCTTCAGGCCCTGGGTTTTGCAAAATACAGGGGGTGGGCTCGAAGTCTTGACTTGGAGTCTGTAGGGTGCTCGTAAGGCGTGGGGCTCAGCGCAAGGTCGGGTCGCGCACACAAGATAGGGCGAAGGGGTATGTGCTCAAGCAACGGATCGGATTTGGCCAACAAGACTGAGGTTTAGAGCTTAGGAGATTCATGTTTAATTTAAGATGGCCAGAGCCAGTTCACGGCGGACAGCTTGTACCACCGTGCACCAAGTGGGGTCGGCGTCCACACCTTGAGCGCTGCCTGTGAACCTTCTACGAACCCCTAGAGTGCCCTTGTAGACTGTAGAGTCCTGGCACAATCCCAGTTCATAAAGGGACCCCTCTTCACAGACACACGCACACACACACACACAGTCACTCCGTGCCTGCCGTGCCGCGCCAGCAAGCACCTGGGCTACTGCAGGAGCCTAAACCCCAAACTATCAAGGTAGGGTTTTGGGCGGCAAGTTAGACTCGAAGTACAGAGCGGCTTTGGGAGGAACCTCTGTTTTAAAGCCCCGCCAACAGTCAAAATTCCGAGTCCAAGCTTCATGCAGAATCAGATAATGCTCCTCAACATGTCTGGGTTGTGGGGCCTGGTACTTAGGGCATAGAAAAAGCCTCGGCATTGAGGTGCGAACCGATGCACGAAGCCCGAAGAAAAACCCGAAATCCCCTGTAAGCCGTCGAAAAAAAACAGCCCTAAACCCTAAACCCTAAACCCTAAGAACCCTGAACCCTGAAGCCTCCTGCTTCGCAACTCTGAAAAATGCAGAGGCTGCATTAGGGTTTAGGGTTTAGGGTTTCGGGTTTAGGATGTAGGGTTTAGGGTTTAGGGTTTAGGGTTTAGGATTTAGGGTTTAGGGTTTAGGATTTAGGGTTTAGGGCCCCATTCTCAAATCAAACCGCTCGTGGAAGACCGGATGCAGGCGTCTTGAGCCTTTAAGACTTTAAGGTTTAGGGCTTAAGATCTAGAGTTTCGACGTTGAGGCGTTTAGAGTTTAGGACTTAGGCTTCACAGTCCTAACATCTTGAATCCAAAAAAGCCGAATGTGCAGATCTTCCGAACCTTCAACCCTAAACCCTGAACCCTAAATCCTGAACCCTAAACCCTAAGCCTCAATCCTAAACTAAACCCCGAACCCTAAATCCTGAACCCTAAAGCCTAAACCCAAAGCCTACACCCTAAACTCCGTAAACCCTGAACCCTAAATCCTAAACCCTAAACCCCAAATCCTAAATCCTAAACCCTAAACTCCCTAAACTCCCTAAACCCTAAATCCTGAACCCTAAACCCTAAACATACGAAGTTCCCGGGCCGAACCCTGAAATCCCAAATCGTTTAGGGTTTAGGGTTTAGGGTTTAGGGCTTAGGGTTTAGGGTTTAGGGTTTAGGGTTTCAGAGGTCTGATAATACGAAAACCCTTAACGAAGCCCTACTCCCCACATCATACTATCTTAACCTCCCAGAAGACTAAGACTGCTCGCCCGGGTGCCAGCAGTGAGCCTGCGCGGAGCAGCAAAGGCACCGGGCGAGCTGCCCGGCTCCCCTGACAGGTCCAAGGGTTTGGAGTTTTTCCATCTTTTGGGCTTGGGGTTTAGGGTTTAGGGTTTAGGGTTTAGGGTTTAGGGTTTAGGGTTTAGGGTTTAGGGTTTAGGGTTTAGGGTTTATGGTTGGGTTTGTGGTTTCGGGTTTAGGGTTTAGGGGGCTCTTGGGCTTAAGGGTTCGCGGAAACCCATCGGGCGTGGGCAAAGACCGGCCAAACCCTGTTACAGGTTACTCTACAGGTTCCTTCGTCGGGTGGGGTTGAGGATATAAATCCTGTATTACCCCATAGTCCCTTAACCCTAAACCCTAAACCCTAAACCCTAAACCCTAAACCCTAAACCCTAAACAAGGAATATGGGGTTTAGGGCTTAGGGTGTAGGCTACCCATAGTCAGGAATATACTATAACTGGAGCAGCTTTGGAAGTCTAGGAGTCTAGCTCCCAGGCCTGACTGCGAGATGGGCGGAGGGGGTTTAGGGTTTAGGGTTTAGGGTTTAGGGTTTAGGGTTTAGGCTTAATCAGTGAGGTCGGCAACTTGGAAGACGTAGGCATGTAGCACAAGCAGACAAGGCGGACCAACAACAATCCAAATCTCTACACCCTAAACCCTAAACCCTAAACTAAACCCTAAACCCTAAACCAAACCCCAAAACCACTACACATAAAAACAAAACCCTAAAAACCCTGAACCCTAAACTAAACCCTAAACCCTAGGCCCTAAACCCTAAACGCTAAACCCTAAACCCTGAACCCATACCCTTCAACCTGAGGTCCTTCCTGAAAGCCCCGAATCCTAAATCCTGACCCCGACGACCCAAGCCTGAAAACTCTAAACCCGTACCTTGGCCCCGAAAAACCTACATTGGGGTTTAGGGTTTAGGGTTTAGGGTTTAGGGTTTAGGGTTTCCGGTTCCTGTGTATGCTTTCATTCGACAAATCTTGATAAACAAGATTTCTCCGGGGTTTCCTCAAGGCCCTGAGACCCAACTCCAGAAGACTCTAAGACCAGTGCACCGAGCCGGGGACTAAGAAAAAACAAAACTGGCTGAGGTTTTAAGGTTTTTTCCCTCTCGCATGGCAGAGAACGATGCTCACAAGCGAGGTCCAATGGGATGACAAGACGCCACGATATTACCATCAGAACCAACCTAGAATACCAACTAGTCAAAATAAACAACCCTAGCTTTGTAGCCAGAGCCATGACGGTCACCACTCTGTGTGCAATCCCTGTAGGTGCAGGAAAAGAGAAACCAGAACACCAACTAAACCGATGACACCCCTCTTTGCATTTCTTCCTGACACGCAAGGGCTACATCTTAGGATCGGTTTCGGTTTAGGGTTTTAGAGTTGAGGGTTTTGATTTCGGGTTTTAGGGTTTGGGGTTTAAGGCTTAGGGCTTTAGGGTTTTAGGGTTTCGGGTTTAGGGTGAAAGTTGGACAACTTAAAACCATCACCCTCATGCCTGTTAAGCAAACATAGGGAACACCCCTCACTAGTCATCCCAAGTCCATGTTCCGACTCTCCGATGGGTTCACGGTAAAGCCGGAAAACCCCAAAGGCGGGAGCCTCAAACCCACAACCTGCATAATACGGGGGGGCCTTACTGATATTATACTATAACTCTAGTGCGGAACCCGTTTAGGGGTTTAGGGTTTAAGCGTTTCAGGCTTATTGTTTAGGGCAGGTGCCAGAGGATTGTTGTCTGTATAGTTTAGGGCCTTGTACGAATTTGTTCAGGGTTTTGAACGGCTTTATGTAGCTGTGTTAAGAATTTAGGCTCAAACTGCAGAGGGCCTCTTAGTCTGCTATTTCAATCGAACGAATTCGTTGATTAAGGTGTAGTCGGCTTAGTTGGGTACTATGTAGGCTCCGGTATAAGAACCCAGATCAACAACACCGTCATAAACTTCGCAGTACCCCCCATCAAGCTCTGGGTAAGCCCTCCTAACACCTGATTGCGCCTGAAACCCGAAACCCTCGTAAAGCCCTCGTCACGACCCCCCGAAAAAGAGGCCCATTCCCATGATTTCTGCTGAAGCCCCCAATCAACGGCGACAAATTTCCCAAATCTGAAGCTCCCAAATTTCATAGAAGTTTCAATACCCCAAAGACCTGAAGTCCCGGAAGCCCGCCCTCTCTAAAAACCTTTTCTGAAATCCTCGGCCGAAGGCCTTCCCCAACAGGAAGATGCAGGGGAGGCCCAGGCTAACCGTCACCAAGGGCGAGGCGGTATCCTTACGAAGGGGGGTTCTAGAAGTTTACGGGGGTGGCTCAGGGCTGATAAGGTTAATGCTTGCAGACATCCGCCACGGCTAAACCCCAGGGCCCGATCCCCAAACTCCAAAACCCTACCTAAACCCAACACCCTCAACCACGGCTTTTTGCAAGGCTCTAAGGCAGTCGAAGCGGGCATTGACTTTCATGAAGCTGTTTTGAGGGTTGTAGCCAGGCTTCTTTGACAGGGCTGGGTTGCAGGGACTTGGCAGTTCACGAAACATGTTGAATCTAGTCTAGTGGGGTTTAGGGTTTAGGGTGTAGGGGTTTAGGGTTTTAGGGTTTAGGGGTTTAGGGGTTTAGGGGTTTAGGGGTTCAGGGTTTACGGTTTACTGTGTAGTTGTTCAGGGTTTAGGGGTTAAGGGTTTAGGGTTGAGGGGTGCTCAATAAGTAGGAGTCAGGGCTTCGCACTCAAATGGGCTCCGGGTTCAACTAGTATAGGCACCTCCATAATTAGAATAGGGTCCTGGGCTCCTGAATAGTAGAACCACAATAAGCAACCCTCAAAAATAATATTCAAAATTATTAGGGTTTAGGGTTTAGGGTTTAGGGTTTAGGGTTTAGGGTTTAGGGTTTAGGGTTTTACACGTCTGTGTGCGGCTTAGGGCCAGTTTAGGGCTTGGGGCAACACCGGGAGCCATGGCTTACGAGGCTCACTTTGGCTTCGGACGGAAAGGCCTCACCAAGGCTTCCCCAAATGTAGGGGCCCTTCATAAGTAGAACAGGGCTTTGTTTATAATAAGGAACCCTAAAGCATAATCAGCCCTAAACCCTAAACCCTAAACCCTAAACCCTAAACTGTATGTAGGCTTCTACAGCAGCTGCGGGCTTCGGGTTCAAACTGACTTGTGGGTTAGATCGACTCATCCGGTCTCGGGTTCCAGGGTCCAGGGTCCGTAACCCCTGAAACCTGAAAAAAGGCTTCGGGTGTAGGGGTTTAGGGGTTTAAGGGTTTAGGGTTTAGGGTTTAGGGTTTAAGGGTTTAGGGGTTTGGGGGTTTAGGGTTTAGGGTTGAGGGGCTTTTGGTCGCAGTTTAGCACGATTCACAAGGAAAGCAGAAACACAAGTCCCGAACGAGCATGCTGTATTGCCATGCAACTGGCCTGCTGCACAACCTCATGTAGATTAAGCTTCGGGGGGCTTCTACCATGAACATATTAGGGAACCCTTATAGAAACCCTTACAGGCAGTCCTCTGAAACCCCCTAACCCCCCAAAACCTCCCAAAAACGGGGCGGAGGATCCGGCTCCACGTCGTCGCGATGGCCGCCCAGGCGATCTGACGGACGCCGAGCGGCGTGGTAAAAGTTGCAGATGGCAGCCTGGAGGGCTCCTTTACAGGCTCCCTTGAAGATTGCATACCAAAGGGTTTAGGGTTTAAGGTTTAGGGTTTAGGGTTTGGGGTTTAAGGATTGCATACCAAAGGGTACTATCAGAGAAGGGGTATCGGCATAGGACTCTTTATGGGATATAAGAGGTCTCGTTCTTGAGGGTTGAGGGTTGCGGGCTATCCAAACTTGAGGCTCAGGGTTCAAACTGCTTGGTTTTTGCAGGCATTTCCGGGATATCTGGCATGGTGCCTGTGTGAGTTCTTGCTTTTTGGTGTGTGGATTTAGAACAACTCGTTTACACAGGCTTGATTACCCCAAACCCTAAACCCTAAACCCTAAACCCCAAACCCTAAACCCTGGTGTAGGGCCGGGCTTAGTGCAACTTGACTGCTCTCGGGTTTCCACGCTGCGCTCAAGGTCCCCGATGGATCAGGGGCGCGGGGGCTTCGGGAGTTTGCTGCTTCTTTCGACTTTCTGCGTTATTGCTCTAGATCTTAAGGGGTGCCCTGCCGGCATTTAGGGTTTAGGGTTTAGG